TCTTGTACCTCAGCCTGGACTCTCCTTCTGAGATTGTTCCCTGCTATTGGGTTCCAATCCAGCAAACAGGGGGACTTCGCTCCTTCCCTAACAGTATGTTACTGATGAAAGAGATTTCACTTCAATTCCTGTCCCTAGAACAGTGAGGAAAATAGAAAAAGAAGTTGTCAATGGGACAGGAAGAGCCAGAAAAAATTAAAAACTTAAAGTGACATTAAACCCTCAGATTTTTAAACATAAAACTGTAATGTGTGCCTTACTGTAATCCATGGTTGTTTCCCTTCTCTTTGCTGCTCTTCCTTTTAAATCTGTATCTGTTCTCATGCTGGGCAGAACTTCTGTTTTGCAGCAGACTGCCTTGTCTCTGAAATGGATACATGGTGTCTGTGTGTAGGTTCACAACCTGAGCCAGCACTCACGGAAGAGGCACTCAGCTGCAAAGGGAAGTTCTCCCCAAGCATGAGAAGATATGAGGATTTAAAAGGAAGAGCAGCAAAGAGAAGGGAAACTACCATGGATTACAGTAAGGCACACATTACAGTATTGGTTTATGTTAAAAAAAATCTGAGGGTTTAATGTCACTTTAAAGAGGTTTTGACCATTCCCCGTTTCAGTGAAAAAGAAGTGTTTGGTGACGCCTGTGTCCCAACATGAAGTGATGGGAAATCTCTCCAATGGGGTCATAGATTGCAGTAAAAACCTAATAGGGGCTTTATCCCTTTTTCACTATGTCCAAAACAAACAAAAAAGTTTGAAGATGGGCCGCAGCAAAATAATATGGCCACCCTGCTGTTTACTTCTTTTAATTAGATTAGAACTGTTGGAGCATGATATACATGATAAACAGTATATATAGAGCATATTCATAACTTTACACCATACCCTCTCCCTGATCAGCAGCCACAGTGTCTGTGCCAAAAACTAAAACCCTATTACAGTAGAATGTACTTGCCACTCTAAACGTACAATAAAAACACAAACTCTCAAATGTGGATTTTTCTTAAATATTAAAAAGGCAGTGGGCCCGCAAATACCCATGTGTTATCCTGTGTACCAAGTACTATATTTGGATCCTTAGTAGCACAAGGCCGGATGGTACATGGTGGTTGACTTCTCTCTAAGTCAAGAATAAGCCCTACGCCTCCTGCTGCTAATCCCCACCCCTGTCCTTCAGCGGTCAAGTGCAGATCCTCAGTTGGCACTTTTTCTCAGGCCCTTTTAAGCCACTCACTCTAACAGTGCCAGAAAAAAGGAAGGTTGCAGAAATAGGTGCTAGGGTTCCTTTATATGACAATGCAGAACTGGTAATCCAGCAGTATGATTATCAACAGCAGAATTTCTAAGAATAAAGATTTCTAAGAATATATTGTTTTTTCGAAGGCACAATTCAAGGTATCTGCTGAGGCATGTACAATTTATGGAAGGATGAATGTTCTGCGCTATAAAACAGACCCAAAGGGGGAGATTTCACAGAAAATAAGGGTTAACCGCAAGCTGCTGAAACTAAGGCTAGATGAGCCTCACAAAATGGTTTAAAAATAGTGAGCGCTATGGGTCCCCTGGAGTAAAGTGAGAATCCAACAATAACTTATTAAATAAGTGGTATAAAATTATAAATATATAAATATCTCTAAGTGAACATCTTATTATGTAAACAATAAAAAATAAAATATAAATTGCTGAAGTGATATGTGAATAAACGAAACAAAAATCAACAATGTAAATTGACTAATGAAGTGGATAAAAATGCTTAAATATAAATAAATGTGAATAAATAAATAAATCTTCAATAAACCGTGTGTCCGTGATTTTTTCTGTATTACAGTGTACATATAACTGCATCTATCATCATCTGTGGTGTATTTAAGCATTTATATCCACTTCATTAGTCAATTTACATTGTTGATTTTTGTTTCGTTTATTCACATATCACTTCAGCAATTTATATATTATTTTTTATTGTTTACATAATAAGATGTTCACTTAGAGATATTTATATATTTATAATTTTATACCACTTATTTAATAAGTTATTGTTGGATTCTCACTTTACTCCAGGGGACCCATAGCGCTCACTATTTTTAAACCATGTACAATTTATGAATAGACTGTGAAATGTATGTGCTGCAGGGCAGTTAATCCGGCTTCAAGGCGATGTACAAGGCTAAGCAACTCAGTTCTCGTCATAAATCAAATAGCTACTGCAAGAAGTTGCTCCAGGAAATCACATTGAATTCCTCCATGCAGCATATTAACAGAAGAAAACTGAAAATGTGTGCTGTGATCTAAAGTAGCCAATCCAATCAAATGAGCCTTCCTCTTCCAGATACAATGGAAAGTGGTCAGTTCCAAAGAGTCCAGCAACGACTTCCCTGTGAAAAACTGCAGTACAGCAGAGAGTTAAATGACTTCTCAAGGAATGAGTTGGTTTGCCAAAGAGAGTTGTGTGGTTCACAATTCCAGATAAAATACAGGTTGTTGCACATACACTATATAGCCAAAGGTTTGATGACAACCTTCCAAATGATTGAGTTTTGGTGTGTTCAGTGAAGGGAACAGTTAATGCTACAGCACACGAAGACATTTAAAACAATGGGGACCTTCCACCCTTGTGGTAACAATTTGGTAAAGGCAATTTTCTCTCCCAGCATGACTGTGCACAGAGTCAGCTCCATAAAGACATGGTTTGATGGGTCTGGTGTGTAGGAACTTGAATGGCCTGCACAGAGCCTGAACCTCAACCCTACTGAACACCTTTAGGGTGAATAGGAAGGTCAACTGTGAGTCAGGTCATCCCTAAGATTGATCTGTGTTACACCACAGGCAACCCTACTGAACACCTTTGGGATTATTTGGAATGCCAACGGCCACCCAAGTCTTCTTGTCTAACATCATAACCTGACCTCACAAATCAGCACTTAACCCAAAACCGCACAACTATTGTTAGCCCAGTGCTATGCTCTTCATACATTTGCTAGCATAGCATTACCCAGCAGCCTTTTGTCCTTTGGAGAGGATTTTTTGGCACTGATCAGATCTGTACCACCGCTTGTAAAAGAAATCACATACTCTATACCTCAGTCCCATAACCCATACTACATTCATAAGGATGGGTAATAATAATGTGCCAAATACAGTATCCCATAGGAATTTACAAGAATGTACCTTTATATATTTAGGCCAATCAGAATAATGAAAGATTAATTTGCTGTAAGAAATACTCTAATAAAATGTTTTTTTCTTTTTCTTTTTACGAATCTTCTATCATGTCATTTTTATTTAATTAATACTCAATAAAATATTTTACAAGCAACAGATGACTACTGATGTCAGCTGTAAGAACTCTCTGTGTTGCACCACAGGCAACCAGGCTTCCCATTTTATTTTACAATTGTTATTTTTCAGAATGACTGTACGCATTGGGGCAGCCCAGTTCTCATTGCAGTCCCTTTCTAAAAGGAGAGGTGACCTTACAGATCTCAGCAAAGAAGTGAACAACAACAACCGAACAAACATAATCAGATTATCCTTCAGCTGCTGCAGAGAGGATGCTAAAGACCTACGGCTCTTAACCTGCACTACGTGTACCAGGGAAGGTACACCAGCATCAATGAGGTATTAATGGAGTTATTGTAAATAGGTGGCCTCCATGGCTATGGTGGAAAACTGCTACTGCAAAACAGGAGGGGTAATATCCCAATACCTATTACAGGCAAAGTAATCCCACCCATTGAATCACCAATAATTGGCAGAAGTAGACATTCCTTCTGCAGATTAATACTAGTGCCAAGCAGCAGGTGAGTTTTACATGTTCAGTACTACATTTTATACATGTACTTTTTGTACCTAAATTTAAAAACGCAAAACAAAAAATCTCTCTCTCTCTATATATATATATACAGTATATGTTTTTAAAAAGTACCTAAATTACAAGGTCTGCTTTTTAAAAGTGCCCCCTCCTCTTTGTAGAAATGCTGCATAAAACTTAATAAAAGACTCCTGCAGCAAAAAAAAAGTTCGATTATATGATTTCCTATCCCTTGGTTACCACTTGCGGTGTCTAAGAGAAAGTGACGTCATCCTCCTTCTTGCAAGAGGTAGAGCAGCCCAAATCTCACTAAGAAGACTACAATGTGCTGCTTCTCGTAAGATTTCGGCAGGATGCTGGTGTCACCCCCTACAGTACAGAGTCTGGGGAAAGGTAACTATAATATATTATTTTTTTAGGCGTTACGTTTAAAAAGGTGAGGGGGGCACACTTAAAAAACACACCATGCGTTTAGTATAAGGTCAGTTTTTAAACCAAGTGTCTCTTTGTTGGAGGGTCAGTTCCGTTTTTTAAACAAATCCCCCTTACCCTTTAATTGTCCCTATCTTTTGGTCTCCTGTATAGACCCCTATCAACAACGCAAGTCCTTTCTTGGCCTGGGTTTATAGAAACTGATGCCAAGTATGAGCTGTTTAGGACAGAGTAAGAGCTGTTTAGGTTCTTAGAAATGTGTAAAATAGTTGGTATCTTTAAACCTTTAAAATTAGCATTATATGCTTGGAACACCTGGAGTCCAAACCCCATATTTCCCATGTACACATAAGAGGAAAAAAAAAAGGATTCACCAGGTGAGAGGGTATTAGAAAGAGCCAATCAGGGGTCAGGAATAGGAATGGTCCTGATGGGGAACTGTGCTATTTACTTCACCAGGTTCCTCTTTCTTAATCTTCAATGATGGCAGAGCCAATACCAAGCTGTTACTTTCCAAGCCTACGAAGGCAGACCTGATACACTGAACTAATCTTTTTTTCCAAGAACTAATATATTGTGTTTGTTGTTTTCAAGCCCTAATATTGATGGAAAGGAGTATGGCATAAATCATTATTGGGTTTAATCAATCATTGTTTATGTACGACAGTCCACATAAATGAGGGCTGTGCCCTCGGCACAGCCCTCATGTCCCTCTTTCCCGTCTCAGATAATTAGGAGGTATGTATGGGTAATGTCTCACCTGAAGATAAAAGTTTATGTGTTCGGAGGAAGCTGATGGCCAGACGCATGATGGAAGCCTTGTCCAGATGGGAGCTGATGTTCTGGGGCAGAGGTAGTTGGTGTGCCAACTCATAGAAGACCTCTGTCTCCTTACTTCTCCGACACCTTGCGGCATCTCGAGACTTTTCCTTTCTCCTCTCTGAACTGCTTCTGCAAGAAGGAAATAATGAATACAAATTAGAATGGACGTGTATCAGATACATTTCTACATTACAACATTTCAGACCTACATTAGAAACATCCAGGGGCCAGTTGGGTTCAATCTACGTTCTGCTACAGAGATTTTGCAACAAAGTTACTTCAGACAATCAGCAGCACTTCCAACCACATGTCTACAAATTCACGATGTCAAGTCACATTGCTTGCATTTACCAAGCCTTTATTGGGTCTTGTATGATCAGCCTTAAACTGTCATTAGACTTCAGATAAGGAATTTCATAATAAAATGCTTGCTGTAACTTGACAGATCAATTGAAACTCCCAGCATGGAAGGGACGATTCTAAAAAGTGCAGCAATGTCACTGGAGACTTATTGTTAATGATAAATGTCAGACAGATAAATCACATGTGGCCACACAGATCTTTTCTCTGCTATGACGATGATATCTACCCTTTCTATCAACTCCTTGAAATGTGATTAGATGGCCAATTTCTCCTATACATTTGTTTCTATTTAATACTGAATGCTTGGGCAGTAAAATGAATGTTAAATCTGAACTCCAGGCAAACAGCTAAATACCCAGATAAAACACACAGGACGTTGTGTTACCTACAAAGGTTTTTCATTTCTGTCCATTCACTCCTGAGAGTTACACAGCTCTGCCCCACAGCACAGCCCTGTCTGCCAGCACAGGAGCCCTGATTTTTCTCCTTTGTAGTTAACACAGGTGTTCTACCTCCCCCAGCCTGTGACTGGATAGTGAAAGGAAAAGTTGGAGACTGATGAGCTTATCTGAGCCTTGGACAGTAGTAAAACTTCCCCCCACTATCCAGAAAAAAAGCTTTTGGCTATAGACACACTTTAATGAACACCGAGCTGCATTAAGTTGTGGCTTTCAATATCTGCCACTGCCATGGCACGCCAAATATTTTTTTGCTGAAACTGGAGCAGAAACAGAGAGATAGAAAAAGGAACTAGAGCAAAAATAAATTAGACAAGAGATGGATAGATAGATGGATAGATAGATAGATAGATAGATAGATAGATAGATAGATAGATAGATAGATAGATAGATAGATAGATAGAGATAGACAGAGACAGAATTCTATTCAGGGTTTCTTCTCCTGAAATGTGTCCACTACTTTGCATTTATTTGACAGGCTCTACGAGACTAGACGCACGTCCTCCCCTCCACTGATTATGTAAGCGTGCCTTCACTTTGCTTGTTTGTTTTATTAGAGAAGATTAAACCCCTTGCACTCTCGGTAACAAACCCGTCAAGTCTCAATGCCTGCACTGATTTATGAACACTCCTCATACACATGTAATAATTATGCAATGATTTCCCCGATGCTGAGGTGCAGACTTGAGGAAATAAAAGTGTCTCTATTGCTCATCACTTTCCATTGGCTCATCATGTTGATGGGCAGTGTCACTGCCTTGCAGAGAGGTTGCGGAAGACAGGAGGTGGCAGGCAAACCTTAAATCCTATCAGGACACTGCCTACACCAAATCCATGTGCTTACTTTACAGAATCATTTGATCATGACAGGTGTACCTGAATCCCATAAGCAAGACGCTACAGCTATCTACTTCACCTTTGAGTACTAATGTGGTTGTATTTGTTTGTCCCTTTATTGACGTGTTACCAATAGCAGCTAACCACATCTGATTCATTTCAACCTGTGAAAAGCATCTAGTTTCTTAGTTTTTTTTTACTTGCACAAGTATTTTTTCATAGAAATCACCACCAATGCACAAAAGCAGGGTCGCAAAAAGGGCACAGCAAAGATAAAAACATGAAAAACATGTAAGAAACGTAATTAAACTTGACAAGGGAAAAGGTATTGCATGTAGGCTATAGGGAACATAATAGAAAGGTGAAGTTATCCTTTATATAAAAGCCATCAAAAGCCCGTGCTAGGCATAATATAATATAATAATACTAAAAAACTAGAGAAAAAAGCCGAGCAGGTTTGTTCTCTCAGGTTTGTTCTCTCTTTTTGCAAGAGAATGAAAATAATAAAAACTTTTGAAACGAGAATGAAAGATTTTAGCTTTTGTTCTATAATCTGTACTGGGAAGATAAAACATTGAACATAAAGTATGAACTAGTTACTAGATGAATAAATTAATTTAACTTAAGCCGATATTTATTTATTGAGGTACCAAGCGATGCAAAAATCAGAATAGTACCTGCATCAAACAAAATGTTGAGTTTGTCTACAATAACTCAAAAGTAAATGTGAAAAACTTCCAAGGTCTACAACATTTCTATTGTAACACAGAATTGTCAGTTCTCCTGTATATGTAATAGTCCCTGCTAAGGCCTCATTCACACACAATGCAATAAAATTGTATATTGCGTATATACGCGTACATGTGCGTATATACACGCGTATGTATACACATTTACGCGCGTATATGCGTGCACCATATGCAATCCCAGAATGCATCATTCGTAATAGAGATTTTAATGAACTGTATGAGCAGACGTGCGTATACGCGCGCAAACATGCGTATATGCACGTATGCGTGTAAAATACGCAGAAATACGCTACCCGGACCCATCTCGGTTCCATTCTGTCTTTGCGCATGTTTACGCTACACAAATATACTGCTCCGTACGAATCTATGTGTATGGAGCCATTTATTTGCATATGGTACAATACGCGCGTATATGCGTGGTAGTGTGATTGAGGCTTAAATGACCAGTCTCGCTCCTCCACCAGAGCAATTTAATAACAACATAATAACAAGATAAGAATAACATAATAGCATGATAAGGACAACGCGATAACAACACAATAACAGTTGATTGTGTTTCAATCTTAAAGGGACATTAAAAGGCAAAAACTTTTTTCCCTCCCCCCAATGTTAATGTCAGCACTTACCTTAAATGATGTCTCTTAATCCGATCTTCTTCTTCTTTCATGTCCTTTTCAGCCTTCTCTCCAGCGCTGCTGCAGGTCTCCGATCCAGCGCTATCTCTTCTGTCTTTGCTGGCTCTTCCTGTCCCACGGTGTCTGCATGCGGGTGCACGCGTCCATAGACTTACCTTGTGTCTCTCCTCGTCTCCCACCCGAAAATCCGAACTGCGCATGCACCCGCCCCAAGATGCTTTGCAGCCACCCGAGCATTTTCGGATGGGAGCGCGCGGCGAAGACACAGGTAAGTTTAAACCGCTTTTAAAGCGTTTAAAAAAAAAACTTTATGCATAGATCTACTGCTTGCTAGCAGTAGATCTATGCAAAAAAAACCAGAGGGTTTAGAAACCCTTTAAAGCTTAAAACTAAAACTCCAGAGAAATATAAAAAATAATGCAGCTCTATATTCCTAAATGTGTACTTAACCCCTTCGTGACTGACGACGTACAGTGTACGTCGCCAGCATCGGGGCTGTTTAAACAGACTCCCGGTGACTTTTGCCGCCGGGACTGTTTAAACTTGTAGAGCCGACTGTCGGCTTTACAACAGAAGCGATCCTGGCGACTTACCTGTCGCCAGATCGCTTCTGCGTCCCGAAGAAGGGGCCGCCCACCCCCCCCCCCCCCCGGCCCCCCCCGCCTTGCTTCCCGGGCTCCGTGGCCCCTCCTACGGGCCCGGGACCGGCGATCTTGGTGTCCGCGGGGAGCTGGGGAGGAGGTCGACGAACTTCCGTTCATCGATCCCCTCCCCGTTCTATGAGACCGGGAGCGATGCAGATTGCATCACTTCCGGTCCCTGGGCTGTCAGTTCTGGGCTCCTGGAGCCCAGCTATAAGCTATTGAAGTGCGATCTGCACTTCAATAGCTTATTTCCAGTGTAAAGGTGACACTGAGGGTCTTTTGGACCCCCAGCATCACCTTAAAGAGTACCTGTCACCACCATCTGCTATCACATGGGGGGGGGCTTGTAAGCCCCCCCATGTGATAGCAGTCAAAGTAAAGTTAAAAAAAAAAAAAGTTTTTTAAATTACATTTAAATAAAATAAATCTAATAATAATAAAAAAAAATTAAAAGTCCCCCGCCCCCGCGAGCACACGCGTCTCCACATAAACACGCGTCGGGTGCGCCTACGTATGAAAACGACGAACGCGCTACACATGTTGGGTATCGCCGCGCACGCCGGAGTGAGAGCAATAATTCTAGGGCCAGTATTTTGGGGTATCTCTAAATTGATGACCTGTGGGGGCTTTTAAAGTGTCTTCTATGGACGTTTTGGGGTACTGGGGTTTTTCGCCGCTTTACGGATGCACGCAATTTGTAACCTGGGCATGTTGTGTATCGTTTTACTCGTTGTAACCTCATCTTTTATATTTCATTAAAAAAAGGGGTATTTTGTCGTGTTTTGGGGCATTTAATTACATTTTTCACTAAATATTGGGGTTTAATAAGGAGTTGCGCTAATATTGCGCAACATAAAAATTTGCAACTACCACCATTTTATTCTATAGGGTCTTGGCATTCAGAAAATATATAATGTTGGGGGGTTTTAAGTAATTTTCAGGGCTAAAATGTGGAATATAACATGGGTACAACAAATTAAAAAAAGGCATCAGTCATGAAGGGGTTAATACATTTTTTAAAATTGCAAGCAGCGTAAGCACCTAAATGTGACTTGGTAACAGCCTCTCGCAGTCCCTGTACAGCAGAGCTGAGACTGGAGGAGGGAGAAGAAGCACAAGGAGCCAATGTGTTGTTGTGTTGTGCTGCAATGCCCCCCCAACAATGATATATTTTCTGAAAGCAGAGGCCCTGTGGAATTAAAAAAAAATATGTACCTGCATTTGTGCAAATCAATATATTTATGAAGAAAAATACACTTAAATGAATGTTAGTGCACACAAACAGAATACCATTTTTTGGTAAAATATAAAAGTTGGGATCACGTTGAATAAAGAGATACCAAACTTGTCAAGACAAAAAATTGCGCGCTCCCGTGCAATGCTGAACAACTACAGGACTCAAAACTTCCCATAGGCAACACTTTAAAAGCCTTTACTGCTCAT